GGCAACTTGTGGTCTCTGGCGGGATTTGAATAGGAATTAGGCTTCATTGCTCCAGGGTTGGATGCAGATGGAATGATTGGTTTGTGCAGCATTTCAGTCTCAAGCGAAGCAGAAGCATGCGTGTTCTGTCCTGCCTAGACATGCACTCCAACTCTCACCCTGACTCTCACTCCTGCGCGCTTCCACTCACTCTCGAAGACCACTTGCATACTGTATGCTTTCTTAACAGGGCCGCAGGTCGAAGCTGTGCACCAAGGCTTCCCGGACTCACGCCCTCTGCATCTGGCGATGGTCCGATGGGCTTTGCGACGCTATGCCAGGATCTCGAAGTAAGCGCATCTTTCTTGATTCGTATCTGCGGCACAGGTACCTTTTGTGCGCATCTGTCAGACAGCAGCCGGAATGCGATAGCCACGAGCATGAACAGCCAGGAAACGGAGTGAATCTTGAATGAACAAACAAGATGCCTGCACAACATGCCGATGACAAGTTCCGGAGCAGATTGCCGGGGTGCTATAGACAAAGTGGGCAAGCACATCAGAGCGGAATCTTTCCAAGCACATCCGTTGGCGATAGCCATATCGAAAAGGCCTAGCTTGCCGAAAGGTTCGTGGAATTGTCTGACCCTCAGGTCCGGAGCTCCTTCTCGAAGATTGCCAAGGCGAGGACTTGCTGCGTCTGCAAAGGCGGAAAGTAAAGTTCTTTCTAGGCTCAGGCCGGCAGTGCCTTGCTCGATGGTTTGCGGTCGGCATGTGAGGGTTTACAGATCTGCGACATGCCGAAGTGAGATGCCAGGAGCTGCAGGAGCTTAACGCAAGCGATGAGGAGCTTGCACGCGCTTTTGCAGACTGGTGCCGTGGTCAGAATAGAGTTCAGGGCTTCTCGTGAGCACTGCCGCCAGGCAGAAATGTAGAAACCCAAGCTTTGCCACTTGAGATGGAAAGTGGATGTTCGGTCCCCCCTTCTTCGTCATTGCGTTTATGTCTCATGTGGGACGATCGACCTTGTTGGAGACCAGCTAGACATGCTAGGCACAGTGTCGGAGAGAGTGCAAACGAAGGTTGTCAGGCATCCTGCAGTCGCTGACCCTCGGCGATGCGTGAATTTGGGAGACTGTTTTGCTGCAAGCGAAGTAGGCGTGGCGAGTTTTCTGCGGTGTTTCCGATTCACATGAGGGTCCGAAGGAAACCGCAAATGCACGCAGAGCACTCGACTGAGGGGCCTGGAGCTCGAGCCGTGCGAAGAGCAGCGAACCAACAGCTTGCCCTGGCTTGTGGAGGACCGCTCAAGTTCGCAGCTTCCAGTGACGGTCGGCCCTCGGGTGGGTTTGGCACAGCATGGAACTCAAACGGAGTGCCCAAGAAGATACTTCGCCAAGCTCTGGGCGTGTTATCGTTCATACGTAAACTCCCACCGTCTCCACGGGTGCATCGCGCCGTGAAGTGGCAGTGCTGCTGGCAGGGCCTTGTGGGTTTGCCGCGTTTCATGGGCTGCAGGCTGTCACTGGCTGGTCAAAATGCGCGGCCACCGAACGAGCTTCCAGCTGTCGCCAGGAGCTTCTCCTGGAGCACCTCATTGGGGACAGCTCAGCTGCTAATCTGAACGATCGGCAGTGCGGAGCATGGTTGCAGCCCACTCGTTTCGCAAGATACTTATTGCAGGCCAAAGCATGGCTGAGAGGCATGTCGCATGTACAGATTTCAGATAGGACTTGGCTCAGCAATCCCCGACAGTGTCCCAACGTGAATCCCAACTGGCGGGCTCCTTTTTGCTCGACGGCTTCTGACCTTTCCTTTGTCCCATCAGCAGCCAGACTCAGGATTGTATGGCTAAGGAAGCAGATCGGGGCCATGAGCACTCGGTGCCATAAGCACTCATGTTGCCTGGCAGTATTCCGCCCTGTTTGTCCAGGGCCCTGTCGCCAAGGACTCCAAGTATTGGGCCCTGCAGCGCAGTGCCGCTGTGGCAGACACGCTGGGTCCTGCACTCCGCCGTTTGCTCACGAAGGCATTGCGCCGGGGCCTTGCAAAGGGTGAGCGGAGACACAGTCAAAACATCCAAAAGCTCGACTGACTAGATGTATCTGGTGAATTCTCAAAGTCATGAGCTTCTTGGAAGCTCTTCTTGGAAGCTAAGTCTCTCTGCTGTAACGGGCCCGAAAGAAGCCGGTGATCCGGTCCTTCTTAGCCTTCTTCGCCTTCCGCTTCCGGGGCCGCAACAAAAAACAAGCCGCTCTTTTCCTACGCCAGGGGAGGGCCTGCTTTGAAAGGAGCACTGCAGTAGGCGTCTTTAGGTGTCGCTTGCAAGAAGGGAGGCTTCGGCTTCTGGTGAGGTGAGGAGATTTCTTGAATGATGAAGTAAATCCTCGTGCTTTTTGAGGTCTCCTTGCCGTGGACCTGCCGATGCGCCGATCTTTGGAGGCGACGGCAATGCGGGGCTTTCTCCGCAAGCGTTGGCTCAACTTGGCTGAAGAGAGCGGAGCAAACTTTCCGCAGGCTCTGGGCCTGCGCATTGACGCAGAGGCCGTCGAGGTGCAATCCAGCTTGGAATTGGGGTCTGGGGCATCTTGCCTGCTCATGCTGGCATTCAGAACCACAGACGTGATGAAATGACGGCAGACATCCTCTGAGGGTGATGTCGCTACTGTTGTACTATATGGCTGGCGGAGGAGTCATAAACGTGTACCTCCTTGTTCTTCCTTCCGAAGACCTGTGCACGCGCACTTAGCACTATGTTATGGGAGGCTTTCACCTCGGTTTTTCCAGGGCTTTCGGATTTCAGGGCTCGGATGTGCCGGTGCACGCAGGGTTTTCGGACTTTAGGAGTTCGGCGGGGGGCTAATTCCGTAAGGTCGGGCGCTTCATGATATATAACTTAGCGATATTTTAGGCCCTGAAAATAGGTGTTGGACAGAACGCGACTGCTCAGTGTCCGTAGCTCCTGTCACACGGTCAGCCATGTCCCCACACAATGCAAACCCGAAAACAAATCAAAACAGAATGGTAGAACACAACGCAAACAAACACGTCGAAGTCACGAAATGCCACGACTGTCACGATTTTGGAAATTTATCACAATCGCTTCATTCCAAGAAATGGCTAAAACAATTGCATGTGCGTCCTGCGTTTGTGCGTACGAGATTCCGTCCGCGTGCCTGCTGCATGCTGTTCAATTGAAATGAAAACTCACAATTTCCTCGTGTTTTGTGGGCACAGTGCACATATATGACCTCGTCATGTACTCAAGGGCCTCCGCGTCCTGGTTTTTGCGATGCGAAATGCTCTTGCAAACTTATTGTTTTTTTTTGCAATTGTCTTGATTGCTTCTTGTTCTATCAACGTCGAAAGCTCAAATTCCTCCAGTTTGTGTGACACTTCCTGACAGAGCTCACTCTATGAACAGACCGAACAAAACTCACTATGTTGGCATTCTCCATGGCTTCAACAACGCTCTTGTTGGCAGCTGCGCTTCGGAGCGTTATGGCTTCGACAAAGCTTTTCATGTCCTGTCTTGTGCAAGTTGTACGGAAACGTCTTGAGATGACCAGTTCCGACATGCGGGGCACGGAGAGAACCAGTGCGAAGAGGGCGCCTGCCTGGCAGTCTACCCTCCTGCACAAGCAGAATCTGCTGCCGAAGCCATATCTCACGCCTAGTCAAGAAGCGTCTTGATCCGGGCTGCCCCGCGAGCCTTGGGCTGACCAGAAGCTTCAAGCTGCACAACGAAAGACAAAGGGGAGCACAGCAAGGGTACCGCAGAAGACGAAAGGAGAGTTCAGTCGGGGTCCAGGACATCTCAAGTGGAGAAGGCGTGAGATTACTTTAACGGTTTGGCCCTCCAGAAGAGAAGTGTTGCCCAAAAATGATATCCCGGCCTCTTCGGCCGAAAGACTTCCTGTTTTTCGGTGACATGTGCGTCACCGTATGCCGCATAGTAGCTCATATCTGTACAGTGGTTTTCGTGGCGCAGGTACCCGCAGACACCCGTGGAGGCTTGAAGGCCAGACCTAAAAAACAGCTTGGGCGTGGGCGGGCGGAGCTGCCGTCCCTGTCCCTGTCCCGTGCCAGGCCGAGCTTGTGGCTGTGGTTTTGGAGGCCCTTTGTGTGCCGCTGATCACCGGTTTTTGCCGTCCGTATACGTCTCCGCCGCCGCCAGAACGCCTTGGAGCCGTCCAAGAAAGATAAGGCCAAGGAGGCAGACAAGGCCTTCCCCCTGTTTGAGCTGATGAAGACCAGTCAACACAGATGGTCGCAGCCGTGTCAGGGAAAGGGAAAGGGGCCGAAGAAGCCACTGTCCGAACTGCAGGACTTGAGATGGTTCGCAAAGCCTTCAGAGTTCTTTGCAAGGCTTCGTGGCGCACCCCATGTAAGTCGCACATGCAGTACAATTCTTCGAACAAGTCCTTCCGAGCACGACGCTATTTGGTAGTGTTTGCTCAACCAGGGAAATCTCAGGTGCATGTTTGTCTGGAGCGGATCTATCTTCACTGCTGGGGGGTCTCGAATCTCGCCACGGCTGTGACAGAAACTTCGTTGTGTCCTGATGACGCCGGATGGTGGGATCATATCTTGGACATTTACATTTTGGCGGCTACCAGTAGTTGGACCTTCTCTTTTCTCGCACCCAGGCATTCATCATCAAGATAAAGATAAACAGCATTACGCAACCCTGGAGTTTGCACACGCTGGCCTCGCTTGCGCTTGTGTTCCGCAGGACGTGCTTCGGGCAGACTTGCCCGCCGCCAAGCGGGCTGTTCCAGTGCTTCGCGACTCTAGAAACTGCCTGGTCAGTCCGCACAGAACACTTCCCGAACACAGTCTCAAGCTTCTCAGGCTCTCCTGGGGATGCGTGCTGCGCTGGTTCGACGGTGTGCAGGCTCTTGGAGCCGGCTCATCTTGCAGCGCCTAGAAGGGAGGGCACGGTGGCTGTCGTCAACCTTATCTGTATGTCGTGCAGCGGCTCAAGCAGAACGCTTTTGAGCTCGCAGTAGGTGCGGGCTGATGACGCTGGCCAGCCAGCTCTGTAAAGATGCCACTGCAGCCAGGAAGACCTGGAGTGCTCGCGAGACGGAGAGGTTTGCCAAGGTATGCCAGAAGCGGGTCAGAGACAGCCAAGGCTTCGAGACCACTACGAGATTGAAGATTATCGCACCAGCTCAAACACGTGAGGGTGCCAAGAAGGCCGCACAGGAACTGAAGCGCAGCCTGGATGCGCATGGCTTTGTCGCTTCCGAAGTGCAGGTGGAAGCTTTGGTAAAAGGCATGATTTTCCGTCTCTCAGTTCAGGCGTCATGGGTGAAGGATGAGAGTGCATCGGGCGGGCTTTGCGGGCAATGTCCCATTTGCCTTGGTGACAAAATTCTTGTGGCACTCGCCCCTTGTGGCCACACTGTGTGCAATCAGTGCAAAGGCAAGATTCCTGTTGGACGGAAGTGTCCGATGTGCCGTTCCGTTGTGGAACGGGTGACGACCGGGATTTACGTGGACATGGCGTGAAACTGCGGATGACGTTGGGGCTTGGTGGACTCGGCATCCATCTAGTCAGCTGAGCTGGGAAGGCCTTTGCATGAGGTAGTATGCATTCCAAAACAGCTCAGCTGAGAGAAGAGTGGATTGTGTAGAGGATCTTGACGGGAATCAACTTGCAGCAGATGGCTGTTGTGAGCAAAAGTGGGAGCAGCTGTTTTTGACACGGAGGTCTTGCCCCAATCCTTTTGGGATGCCGTTTCTCAAAAGTTTACCATAATGTCTTCATTGTCTCGCCACTGTACCGAACCATACAAGTCATCAAAAACTCGCAGGCAAACAGAATTGTTAAAGGCTTTCGAGCCTTGGGTAGACGAGCCTTGCGTCCTCGTCACGAGGAGCATCTTCCAGCTGAGCTGCGTGTGCGCCTCCAGAAATGCACGGAGCCAGCTCCATCCCCAGAGTACTTGCGCACGCATATGACCTGCATGGAGGTTGGTCCCGGTGCTATCAGCCACGGAAGTTCGAACTTGAACTTACAGGTGCACGAGTTTTGCTTCTCGTGTCAGGCCCGCGGTGGCCTGGCCCTTCTGGCACAAGCGGCACACGCTGGCACGCTGCCGGTAGAGATCTCAGACAGTCTTCTCTTATGCAAAGCGCACATCTGTGCCGTTCGTGAGCCAAGGTGAGTTCGGTGTCCAGTCTCGTCTCCAGTGCTGGCGACGCGCTGGACTGCGACTTGAGGGAAGTGAATTGCTGTTGCCGGTTGCTGCCACCGTGAGGAAATGGCAGGGCATCAGGAGGGTGCAGAAGCCCTACGCCACCCGTCCCGAGCACCGAAAAGAATGTGGTAGGCAAGGTGTTGGCACCGGTTGTTCGAGAGATGCTGAGAACACTTTAAGCCGTGCTTCAGCCCAGGTACTTGGCACGAGAGACTGGTGGAAGCCAACGTTGTACTGCAGGGCCTGGTGGCTGGGCCCTGCACAGACACTAAGACGCACACGCACGCACGCACACACAC